AGTACTATTTGTTAAGTATTAAGGTCATCCGGGATAAAAAAATGGTTAATTGTTATAAGCAATGCATTTATCGATATAATAATTAATAATTTGAAAATAATGCCAAAGTTTATTAGTTTTGCTAACTTATCGGTTTAACATGATATGACAAAAATTTTACAACCCCACAAATGAAGGCATTGTTAAATTGACAACCAGCATAGACAATTCCGTGAAATCGAAGAATTTACTGTATGCTTAATCAGTATATGTATAATGTACCGTTTTAATACAATGAAATCTATCGAAATACTTTTCTTACAAACTGAATACAGTTTATAAAATGAAATTTAAATGTACAGTTTATAGATTAAATTTAAATATACAGTTACTATACGATGAAATATAAAATGAAATTGTTTCATACTTCTGCGATAAAAAAGAACATTTAATGAAAATTAATAATTAAATTTAGTAATTCTGTAAAAAATATTGTACAAATATAATAAGGTACCTTCAAGTCGGAGGGAGATTCTGAAGATGACTTGCTTTGCAAAGACTGAGTATTACTTTCTGAAGCCTTTACGGAAATCTATAATAAACGAATCAATTTGTGTAACGAAGAGCTCGTTAAATATATTATATATTTAAACAAAAGTTGTTAACATACTGCACCAGAATTTCAAATTCAATAGCAAATTATTGCAAGAATAGAATTCATTTTTTCTAATTTTTAATACCTTTCTCAGATTTGATCGTTTAGATTGTTTAGAACTAAACACTTCACTAATAAAAGTATGTTATTGAGGGATAGAACACATACTTCAACATGTTTCTCTTGTATTTTTCTTTTGTGTTCTTCTTCATGATTGTCGACGGATTCCTTACGTTGAATCGTATGAGTGTGCGACATTATAAACTTCTATAGTAATAATATAAATATTAGTCTTTACGTATCTAATGTTGAAAACTGAAACAAATTATATCGCGATGAACCGTGCGATTTCAGTCTCTAAAATGATGTTACAGACAACTTTAGGTTGTACGATCGTTGTCTTGGAAACTGAATTGGAACGGTCGATAAGGTTTTATGAAGAGTTTATTACTGATTTTGTCAAAACATCGGTTTATGCTGTTTAGACTCACTGTTTTATATAATATTACCGTATTTCTTCTATTAATCATATATTTTTTTTTAAACAAAATATAATATACATGATTACATATTCTATTACATACCATGAATTTATAATACATAGTTATAATATCTTTTTATAATAATGTATTGTATTTTGCATTTCTTTACACATAACTTGTATGACTTTAGAATACTGTTACATAATAAATAGATAAGTATGTACATATTCTACTTTATTTCAGGTATCTTTATTTCCTATAAAAGAAATATAGTTATTATTTATACTATTGTAAATTTCTATTGCTGGAAACAATAAAGCGTTTCACAATGTTGTTATGAAAAAGGATACATTTAATTGTATTTAAACATGCATTTAGACAATATTCTGTTGGTATTCTGTATAACTTATACTTATAATGTAATAATGGAAATGTAATGTTTATATAGACTACACTTATTTGATATAAAAATAAATCAATCATTTAAATATTATTACGTATTTATGCATTGTAAAGTCGACTGTAAATAAAACTGTCTATAACAATTATGAACATAAAATTAAATATTCTAAGGTAATCCAATTTGAGAGCTTCAGTGTTTTGTCGTTTACCTATCTTTCGATTATATGTATATTAACTGTTTATTTATAACATTATACTAATTATAGTACACTACATTTCGATGGAAGTCATGCACAATGTTTTAATTATTGCACAATCAATTACAATATATGTATAACAAATTAACAGTTTGCCATTTTCGTACATGTCGAATTTCACAAATACATAACATTGAATCAGTATTTGAGTACCAAACTGGCAATGACATGTTATTTAAGCTACATGTGAATTTATATTGAAATGCAATTTGAGGCGCGATTGTACTCATTTCAGTAATCTAGAAAAGCTTTATTATTGTACATTATATGTATATATTTATAATAACATATGTATTATAATAATTAAGAACATTCATTGTAATACCATATAAGCGGTTCCGTTACGATCGCGAATTACACGTGGACGCTGCGGTTTTACTAAAAAAAAACTTACGGAATCTTTAATATTGTTCATCGAAGTTTGGTTTTGACATTTCCATTTTCGGTGAGCAGAAATAGGGACATTTTATACTTCATATTAAATGAACTATTATTAAGTTAAAATGTTTTTACAAATACTTTTATTTAAATTTAATTATAATGGGAGATTTAGATTTTATATTCAATAAGATTTTTTGTACAGATGGTTGCATAAATAAATAATAATAATCATTTTAGACCAGCGATAACAGAACTCTCACATGATTAGAAATAAGGCCATTGATCTTATGTACATACATAATACCACCGACTAGGTATAGAATAGACCTATCATCCAATGCTTTTTTCTGTCCCACGTTCATAGGGCTACGTAACCCTGTTACCATTTTGGTGTCAATACCCGACGTTACCGATAAAGCATAAATTCTGAGTATTATGAGCACAAATGAAGTGTTATATATTCCATTCATATTGCGTGTATCTATGTATATGATTTGACGGGAATAAAAATAATGAAACATGAAACGGAAAAGTATATATTTTTTCACTTAACTACAAGACAATTTATTCTAAATGCCTCGTTAATGGACATTTTACTAATGTTACTTTTTACATGTTCTTGTTTTATTCGTTTTTATATCTCGCCTTACATTTGGATATTTGTAACAGATAAATTCAGAATAGATGTAGTTTGATAAATAATTTATCAAATCTACATGTGGGAGAATATATACACCACTTTTATTAACATTTACATATTTATAATTTATATGGGAGTATAAATAGTTTTACTGCCTATTGTAAGAATCTTAATACGCACGAACCTCCTGGCAATTGGTAAATTTTTACATATGAATTTACTTACACGTTATTTACGTACAAAAGATTTATTTATTGCGAATAATTAAATAATGAACGTATGTTAATATTCAGCTACGTGTCTCCCAAATTAAGTGAAATACAGAAGTTTTATTTTCTTGAAAATTAATGTCAAAGAATGCACCAACTGGTAGATTAGTTTCGTAAATAAATCGAAACCCTCTATCGGCACACTGTTTTTTAGGCTATCAAATATGACACGGAGTCTTTTAGGAAGTAGTAAAATCTACTACACAAGTTCAATGAAATATTTTCAGGTACCCAGTTTAGGGCTATGAAATTAGAATGTTCAAGAAGAGGTAAAAAAGTTTCATATTTGCAATTATTTTGTGAAATGAATAATAAATAAGGGTCTTATGGATTTATACTGGAGAGCTAAATCTTTAAAAGGAACATGTCGCTTAACCGTTTGAGTGTCACGGAGCGATTTTGCGCTTCTCCTCTGTCCTTCGAACAGTGCCAGCGCTCTAAGCTGCGAAACCGATAACCGCGACACGCTCGGTTTCTGTCGATGCGCGACTTTACGGTTACCACTCCATTTTAGGTAAAAGGAAAAGAATGATACAACTAGTAAAAGAACGAATGACAGAACAACACTGAATTGAAACAATTACAGCTACCGTATAAAGCTGAAAACAGCGCAATAGCGCTCCTTGGCATTCTTGGAGAGGGAATAAGACAAGCGCTATCGCGCCGCTTGGCACTTTTGGAGAGAGAATAAGACAAGCGCTATTGCGCCGCTTGGCATTTTTGGACGGGCAAACAGCAAAGACACGTGGCACTCAAACGGTTAAACAAATTGGTTAAATATGATATTTATTTGGGGAATATGAACATCATAAATAAACGAGAGCGGTAGAGCGAGTTGCGATATCGGTGCTCTCCGTCGGTGTCGACGCGTACCGAACGAGGCCGAAGAAGGTCAGAGCGGGCGAAAGGGAGAGAGCGAGAGCGATAGAGCGTGCCGCAGTATCGGTGCTCTCCGTCGGTGTCGACGCGTGCTGAGGAATTTCAGTGGTCTATGAGGGGAGGTGTGCGAGCGAGAGAGTACGGTTTAGAAATCTAAACCGTCTCGTACTTTGAATGTTTTAGAAAAGTATTCGAGATAAAGATGTATGGGACTACTGAAAATTACTTTAGATTCCTTTTCCTTATTCTGTAAATTCTTTGATTGGAATATGAATGTTGCTGGAAGTATGAACATTTTCACAGGACAATGATATAAGTGGAACTTTAAAACTTTTTTAAGTGTTACAGTGATATTGCGTTATATGTTCCATAATGTCAATAATATTGATTTCCCCGCAACATCCATAATTATTACAAATGTTAATATAACGTCAACATATCTTTTATGCGATGTTTGTGGTATAATAAAAATCTCTGTTTCGATTACGTTTTTCATACACATTATTCACTTATATGTAATAATATAGAATAAAAATATACTATTAGTCCGATATTTGAAAATATACATGCGTTCGTTGTCACTGTTAAACTGTTGTAATAACAATGGAATAATAAAATAATTTACTCAAATGTACATAATAATACATATACATATCCATAAAAACAATATTAAACGCTATAACTTTTTTGTACGCGAAGAAAAACTAATATAGTTCCGTCGGGATTAGAACCCAAGACTCCTTTCTAATACGTCTACTTTACAGCGAACGGACGGAAGAGAATCCGTTCACGACCATGGTCCCTTCTTAGATTTAACGTAGTTCATAAATTCACCGTTCTCATAACGTAGAGGGCAGCAGAAAATCCCTGACTTTTTACACTATCGGTATTTCAGAACATGAGACACGAAGTCCCATAGAGTGATATGTCTATCCTATACCTAGTCGGTGATAATACATACACGTTTCACAAAAGTTTCTTCTATATCATTACTGTTTTACTAACAGCGAAATACTCCAATCCCAATGCCTTCCGCAAACTGCCACAAGATGGCCGCGGAGCGCGGTCGTGCACCTGTAATGACAGCACGTGCTACAGCTGAGTGGCGGTCTCGGTCTCGGAAAAGTGAGTATAATCGTGTTCTAAAGTTGTTTTCCGGTTTCTCGGGCTTACCTGGCGTTTACCCATTGTTGTGTCGATTCTGTGCTCCGAATTGTATCCCGATAATTCTGGCAGTGTCAACCTGGTTCCTGGAATTGCCGTTCTATTTACTCGACGCTCGCACGTGTGCCGTCAATGCGTCCATAGTAAATCGTCGATTGGTAATTAACCTTGGTAGAGAACCGTATTCGTTGATACGGGATGCTTATCTTGAATATCATAGAAACATTAACAAAGAAATTAGGATAGCTGCGCGTACACATGCGTCTTGTTCAAGTATTGCGACAATTGAATCGAAATTACTGTTCCGATGCTAACCTAACTCTTTACACTCGTTAGTCGAAGCATCGTTAAACAGAATGCCATAATACGTGGAGCAAGTTTTAATGTGGGCAATACAGTTTAACGAATGACATTCGAATCGAACGAGTAACATATTGTTCTTTAATGGATCATTTCTTTCTTTAGAAGTGTGCTCCGTAACAGTGTTGATTCATGGAGAACGATGTAGTATACTGTCTAAATATGTCGATTTTAATCTGTGTATTAAAAACGGCCACGTGTTTTGTATTTTGAAAACTGAATGAGGATAATCTTTTCTTTGCCGTTTGTTTTATTGCATACGCGACACGTAATTAATGTGCTATGTGTACTTACAGATTGCATCTTTTGTGCACTTTTTAGTACAGTGTTCGTGATATAGGGTGCATCGATGTAGAATGTAATACACTGACGATGCTGTCACTTATTAGATAGGGCTCGTGTTTACGTCCAAGATGTAAAATTTGATTGATGGATCTCTTAATTTTTTCTTTTATTAAACAATTTTTTCGGTTAAACTAGTACTCATTAATATGTATATGCCGGTTAAAAAGCTCACTTTTTCGAATATTTTATGAAGAATGTGAACATATACACTGATATTGATAAACATATCAGAAAATATTTAAGTGAAAAATGTTAGTAATGATAATTGTATTTCCCTGTCCTGAATAATTTTTTTAGAATTAGAATGTATATTTTTGTAAGATATTTCGTATAATAACTATACATACATGACACGAAATAGAACTATACAGAAGAAGCGATAATTAAATTTTAAATTTAAAAAGAATGTTTACGCGAAAGCCTGGTTTAGCGCTCTTTTTGCTGTTGAAGCACCAAATTCAGTCAAAATTTTTTTTAAATATTTCGCTCATTATAAGGCATATTATTGATCTCCATATATCTAGCGTGGCAATTAATAAATTTAAAAATCACTTGTAATTTAAGTCTAGAAGCTGCAGCACTTGATTTTTTCGATGAAAAAGTATCATATGATTCCAAAAGAGAAATGGTACTACCTTAAATAACGACGATAGTGCAAATAATTATAATGAGAAGCATGTTAAAAGCTTTACATTAAGGAATCAGGACGTTCATGAAATAATTGACAAGGGACTAAAATATTTCGTTTCTGCGGAAACTAACCTATTTTATAAGGGATTTAACATAAATATGGAATTACAAATTTCGATATGTTGTAGTCTTTAGCGATATATAAACGTATCTCGAAGGAGTTTTGAAAATTTTTTAAATTGTTGATTTTACAGCTGTTTGAAATTTAGGGTCAACCTTTGTCAATAAATCATAACTATTGATTTAACAAACTGATCAAACTGAGCTTTGTAGGTACTTATAGTGGAGACATAAGAGGACCAAAAATAAATTATTTCAGTTAACAAAAAATATATTTTAAGCATTTATTTTGCAATTGTTTTAAATAAATGCCCTGTTTTTATACCGGGCTAGTATTTAAAATTTTGAAAAACATGAGGTTATAGCCCTGTTATCCTCTTTACGGACTTGTCTTAAAAAATATGGACACTTTAAAATTGGCTGCATGGAAATTAATTGAAGTGAACACTGCATCGAATTACACCAGCCAAGCCGTGTGCTACTGGTACTCAACTTTGTCCATAAAGAGGACAAATAGGACTACATCCTCAATTTTGTTTTCAAATTTTTTATGTTCATTCATGTCTTTAAAACAATTACAAAATAAGTGGTTAAAAAGTACTTTTTTCTAACTGAAATACTTGTGATTAGGTACTGTTATGTCTCCACTGTAAGGACCCACAAAGCTCATTTTGATCAGTTTGTTAGTTCCCTAGTTATGATTTATTGAAAAAAGGTTAACCCTGAATTTCAAACAGCTGTAAAATCAACAATTTTTAACATTTTTAAAAATCCTTCGTGATACGTTTATATATTGCTAAAGACTACAACATATCCAAATTGAAATAAAATTCGAAATGATGCTCCAAAAAGTGTCCGATTTTGCGTGGAATGACCCCTACGATACATGGATTTGAAATAGTAAATAAATTGAGGGTGGTAAATGATGCAGCAGAGAGTGCAGTTAAGTAAATGATCGGTAACAACGAATATTTAAGAGAAGACCAGGAACAAAAACTGTTTATCTTGTAAATTGTACAAGATAATCGTCACTGCTACTCACAATCAGATGCTACAGTGGGTAAAAAAAGTATTCGTACACTCTTTAAAACAGAACAACTCTTTCAAAATAGGACCAAGTGACTTGAATTTCGTTGTGAAGTTAGAAGGATTAGACTGTAATGAAAATTTAATAAATAAATTTCCAAGATTTATGTCAGTTATGTACATGCTGCAACTTTTATTGAATCGGAGTAACAGGCATCAGAAGATGTAAGAATCCTTAGATACACTACAGTTGTAGGTCAAAAGTCGCCATAAACTGCGATTTTCCACCTTTTTAACCGTTTGTATCTCATAACAACGTTAACCGATTTCGATGAAATTTTCAGCATGCATATTACTAACATAAATTTAAGCAATGTTTTCGCTAAATTACCTTCAGTTTGACCTTTACTATTTTCTTCGCGATTTTGACCAATTGCAACTTTTCAACATTTTGTTAACACATCATTTAGTACAGTAATCCTTCTAACTTCACAAAGAAACTCAAGTCACTTGGTCCAATTTTGAAAGACTTGTTCTGTTTGAAAGGGTGTACGAATACTTTTTTGACCCAATGTAGATACATTCTTTTCCTTAAAACTGACCTTAAACATTTCTTGGATTTCATGCGTTGTGCAAATCAGCGAAGTATTATACATTATCTTAAAAATTGATAGGAGTACAAAAAAAGGTATATAGAAAGAAATTATATAAAATTTAATGGTGTTTTAATATTATTTGAACAAACTTTCGATAAGATTTACCATTTTTGAGAAATTCTTTATATACTCCAAAAACATTGATAAATTCAAAACTTTAAGGCCTGGTTGGTACGTTTCTCTGTTGTCCGATTCTAATAAACTTTTTCAGGGATTATATTTTTATAAAATACAACCATACTAGGGGTGAGAGCAAAGGAAATCGGATATTGAAAAATTAAGGCCAGCCTAATGTGACGTGGATCGGTGGTGCGTATGTTTGTAGCTCAACGAGAGAGATTTCCAAGACCGAAGTCAGAATCAGATTTGTTTAGTTTCGTGTGACTGTTTAGGCTGGGTATTGGGTGATTGAAATTTTTCTAAGAATGGTTGCGTAGTTCGAGAGCGAGGGATGTAAGGCTTGGGTGAGTGTTTCAGGTGTGGATGCTTCAGATGGTTCATACCTAACTTTCTAGTCAATAAAGCATCATATTACTAATTGGTATTAAACACCCACCAATACCTTTTAATTGCGTATAAAAATTATATCTATGAATTTCACCGACATTACCAATGGTCATTCTTCGTTATATTACAAATAACAAATATATTTTGGTATGACTCCACTGTGCTCATTTCTGATACGTTTGGCAACGTTGTTTTTGCACGCATATCTCTATATACGTGTGTGCTTCTTTAGTTTTCCCGCGTATAGTGAATATTCAATATTCTGATAGGTAAAGTTAATTATACTCGCGTGCATTGTAATTTAGAAACATAGAATTCACTACAACACAAAATAAGTAAAATATTTTTTATATTTATTTGAATTTCGTGGGTATGATCCTACTTCAGCAACGTTGCCAAGTTCTCAACAGATAACCATCCAATTACCGACATATCCTGAACTTTATTGTCAAATATATTCCTGGAATGTTCGGCATGGCGTACAAGATTTAATTCATTATCAGGAAGCTCAGGATTTATACAGGGTGTTAATTTTAAATCGAGCACCTAAATTATTTCCGCTACTATTGAAAGTAAGAAAAAATGACTAAATAGGATGTATATGGTTTTAAGGCGTGCATCTGATGGTGATAAAAAGAATCCTGTGAAGGTCATTTTAACAGTTTTTTCAAGGTCATCGTATTTTTTTGCATATTAACATGTATTTTTTATTACGCGATGTGGTAGTCAGCGTCAGAATGAGTTCAACGACCTATTCACCATGACCTTGAAGTGACCTTGAAGGCAAAGTAATCAGCTTCAGTTTGAAGAATGCAGAAGTAAATAAACGTAATAAGAAGTAAAAAACATTTTATCACCATCAGATGCACGCCTTAAAACCATATACATCCTATTTAGTAATTTTTTCTTACTTTCAATAGTAGCGGAAATAATTTAGTTGCTCGTGTTAAAATTAACACCTTGTACTTTCAGTACCTAGCTTTTGGTTAACAGTTCCAGTTTCTGTGAAAAGAATAGGTTATACTTCTGGTAAGAAAGCGTAAGACTGCCATAAGAGCTGTATTAAAAACTGAATTTTTGACAAGCTTTTTCTTATTTATTTATTAATTATCTAATATATTTATTATATTATCTTTTATTTAATTATCTAGTCTTCCGAATTTGGCACGAACTACCTTAAGAGGGGGCAGGGTATTAGTCGTTTGTCGTGTGTTGTAATTTAGTAGTTTTGGTGTTTTGTTCTCTTATGTTATCGTTTTATGTTAAATATAGTTTTTATTATTGTTATTTGTCGTGTGTCAACTGTTTTAACACCCGCATTCGCATATAATCTCTATACTACTGACAGTGTTAGGTGATTACTTCTTGGTATAAATTATGCTATTTCTCGACTATTAAAGTGTAAACAAAGTGTAATAAAATGGTTTGGGGTCTGAGGAATTGGATGATTTCCGTTATCACAGATGCCAGGGGAGCATATCGGGTACGGTGCCCGATTTTATCCAGGCATGGGACAAAATCGTACATGTATATGCAGCCTATTTAAATTCAATATTTTCTTGCACTTTTATATCCTCGAAAAAGTTAGATGTAAGCTGTTGTTGAGTGAAGAAAGTCTTTTAATGAACCACAATTTCAATTTCTTTCTCATTTTATTAATATTAGAGTCTACTCTATTTTAGAGTCTACTCTATTCATAACACTTTTAAAGCATCATTATATTCTCATTCATGTTGTACAAATTAAGTAAATATTAGAGAAAATTTGTACAAGTTAGGAAATCGTCCGAGGAAAAATTATTACACATATGACGGTGGTTTTGATGAGTCAGACATTGATTAGTTATAAATATTTGTTTCTGTATGTACGTCAACTGTTAGTATACACTATACAGGGTGTCCCATCTAATTCTGCCACCCTTAATTATTCTCTTATTTGTCACGGTACAAAAAAATGTTTCGGGAGAAAGATAGTGTATTTTAGGGGCGAAATTAGGCTATGAGATTCAAGGTCATCTCAAGGTCATATCTTCTGAGATTTCTCTAATTTAAGGTTTTTTTACATGGAATGCCCTATTTGATATATTGTTGGATACGTTTTGATCTCCGCTTTGTAATAGAATCAAAACAAAAGCCTATTTTGGAATTTACTTCAGCATACGCCAGTAAAAATGTTTGTTTGTTCGAATTCTATATATATATATATATATATATATATATAGATATATAAAATATGATTAACGAGATTTAGGTAAAATAGGGAGAAAAAGATTTTGAATAAAGAAAGCAGTGTGTCATCATATTATGCACACAAACAAGAGATATAAGAACTTTCGTACGTTCAACATAATTAATGTAAGTACCTTCATGATTTCAGGTGAAGGTGATTTGGCGGGAAAGAAATGTGCCGCTCTGATTTTAGAAAGAAGTGAAAAAGTGAGTACTTATTTAATTACAATTTCTTAATAACATTAATTTGAAGTCTAATTTTGTCACGAATTATCGAATTGCCTTATAAACTACGATTATCTACAAGGATTACATAATACTTATTTCGTATAAAAAATTTCAAAGGGACTGTATTTTACTTTTGATAAGATCCGAGTAATTAATGGAGGAATGCATGGATGGGATTCGATATATCGGGTATGGTAATACAAAGTAAATCGATAAAAAAACAAGTTTATCAATGAAACATGTTTATTAGAAATCTGGTATTATTTCTCTACGTCTACAGTAAATATCACAGGTACACGTTTCTCTATCACAAGATTCTCTGCTCGATCACTTATATAATGATGACAATTTCAACAGCATTATAAACATTCGAATATGTGTCAAGTGTAAAATTTGCACAATCGATCGAGGAGATACGTACATATAACAACATTTTCGGCGCGGGCGAAGATTCTTTCTCGGGTTGATCGCGACACCGCGTTGGCGCGCAAATCGACACGAGAAAATTGATTGGATCGCATGACCTTCTCTGCGCCAAAATGGACAAAATAAAGAAAAAAATTCACGATAAAAGTATGAAATAAACAATAGATAAACTCTGTCGAGTGAATTAAAGCTTCAGCCGCAACGCTTTCGCGCGAGCGTATCATCGAGATCCTACGTTTGCAACTGCAACAACAGTCATTCGATTAAACGCGTTTATAACATCCAACAGACGAAATTACAAAAGAATTTACATCCTTATTCCCCCCTCCCCCCCCACCCCGCACACACGATATTCCACATCGAGTATTCTTGAGCAAATAAAAAATATCTTAAATCTATTTCCCATTTCGGATCACGGGTCCGTATTTGCACACCCCGTAGGCGTTATTAAAAATAATCCTCTTCGTTGTCCATTGTAGAGAACGAACATCTCGAGAAAGTGCGAGAATTTCTTCTTCTATTACGATGGTCCCATCCTCAAAGGCTCGCGTGTTTTTCGCTCGAATCACAGACAAAATTGCAACACCGGTAATGGATCTCCGCAGGATCGATTCTTAAAGGGTATCGATGACCATGTCAATCAGCTTTCTTTCTAACAGGGAGTCCTCGGTTGATTCCGAAAGCTTGATCGACCGCCTATAATACGATCGTTTCCAGCCGTCATAATCAAAGTCCAATTGGCGATTACCACGGTCTCCAGATAGGCTCGTTAGGTTTAGCGACCTGCAGAAGACCTTGGTGGCTTTGAGACATGGTTTCGATTTCCGTTCGGACCGGGGATGGTTGGCTGGATGCCGGTGTCAGTGGCATCGAGTATTCGTCGGAGCTGAGATCGCTGCTCGAGGATGGCGAGGATTGTGGCGCGGTCACGTGGATGGTCAACGGGCCGGTTTTGTCCATGGCGTTCAGTTTGTGACCCAAATGGGTCATCAGTTTGGTTCCCAGAGCGACGTCGACGCCGGGAGTGGCGGCTAAGCAACGGCTGACTTCGTTGGCGCAATGCGTGTACCCGGCTCTGAAACGGTCCGCGTCGATCACCGGATTCGCGGAAAGCCGTTGCTGTCTTTGGAGCTTGTGGAGATGACGGACGGTCAGCTCTAGAATATCGGCCTTCTCCAGCTTCGCCACGTTCTCGCCGTCGCCGGCCAGAGCTGTCACCATCAAGTCCTTGAGCTCGTCCAAGCATCGATTGATGCGTGCTCTACGTTTGCGTTCCAGCATAGGTTTCATCACCTGTAAATCAAAAGTGAAGAACCGTTATAGAGATTGTTTTCTAGAGTGAATGCTGGTGTATTCTGAACGATAATTGGTTCGATTCGCAAAAAAAAAAAAACTATGTTTTAATTCGAACAGGCGTTTTGCCGCGAAACAATTAGCGACCGTGCAGGAAATCAAAAGGGACGCTTACCTTTCTGTACTGATATGTCCTGGAGATCGGCTGCTCCTGTCCATCGACCATCATGATCTGCTCGTGCATCTGCATGGTTAATCCTTTGGTCGAGGGGGGTTATCTTTACACACCGTTAACGAGAAAACTTCACTGATTACGAACGATCCGTCCGGTTTGTCGCGATAATCACACTTGTCGTTGAATGTCCCTTAAATGTCACACAGAGTTTGGCGTTTTACAGTGTTTTCGTAACTGTTGGTTGTTCGCTCGATTCGACGGAAACGTATCGACTTGTATCTCTGATGCGTCTCCAGCTCGAACTTCGTGAACGATCACAGTGATTGTGGTGGCTGTCGGCCGTGGCTGAAGCTTATATAGTCAAGGGCTCTACGGCAGGGTGGGGCAGGGGGCTGCTGTCAGGGTCTCTAGTGGGGGACAGGCCTTCCGTGGGAACGGTCCGTAGAGGTTGGTTCCCAAGCAAGCACACCACCTGTAAGCGGCAGCTGCCAGACACGCGCCCACACCAAGCCATCGTCACCGTTTCTTTGTCCTCGTTGCACCTACCGTTTGAACCCGTATTTCCTACCTCCTCTGATCCTCCTCGGGTAGTCGTGCCACGGTATGCACGGCTTAACGTTCTTTCTCTTTCTCTCTTTGCCACTCTCGGCTCGGCTGTTTCACGAACGTGCGCTCATACGGAAGGACCCCGATATCGCCGTCCTTTCCTTCGTTCGTACCGACAGAGCGAAAGAGAGAAAGGATCGTGCGCGCCCCCCCCCCCTCGTTCCAGCTAGTCTTTCTCCTTTTTCCATTCTAGTAGTACCCGAGGTGGGTATATACTCGTGCTACATCTTCTTATCGTGATCTCGTCTCCGTTCCACTGCCTCGTGGGCACGATCGGCCTGTCCTTGTCCGAACAGCAGCCTCGTGGAGCGTGCTGGGCACAAGTCCAGCGTTCTCCCGATCGCAATCCCACTAGTTACACGTTACTGAATCACAGTACGTGTGTCTATGGCTACCAAGCCACCGCGAAACGATACCACCGTCTCTCCTCCTCTCCACGCGTTCTCTCGCTTCCTGTCGCTTCCGCTCAGCAATTGATCAATCATTTTCTGCGCGTATTAACTGTCCCGTGAGAAACGCGCCGCGGACACCGGGATAAGTGTTGCGCGATATAACGTCGCGTTCTGAAAAGGATGTCATGATTCGTTTAATACGGTTGTCGCGTGGGCGCGTGGACCTCGGCGGAGCCGAAACGTAACCGATGTCGATAATTAGTTACCGTTCGTCCATCCTGTAACTGTCACTTTTTCATCGTGAATGTGACTACGATACATTTGATCGTTGGGTCTATCTACTGGTTTCTTTATCAACATGTATTTCATCGTGTGAATCAATCTGAACGGGCAGGCAAAGGAATCGGTACGCCCTGAAATATATTTAAATTAGACATCTATCTTTTCCTCATTTGTGTTTCAATGAAGTGAAATATAAACCTGCGAAAAAAATACCATTGGCGCACACGATCCATTAAAAACCATTTCACCGGCGAGTCAAGTGTCATCTTTGGGCTAATTTATTCCCGCTTAAGACTCCAGTCGGAATTGCAATCGTGTGTAATCACCGTCGAGAAATGATATTTATCGGGCCCAATAATCCCATGCGTGAAACCCCGACGTGAATCCTCGAGTTTGTCTGCATTAACGAATGAACGGCAAAATGGTTACAGATTTTACAATTCGACGGACCGATCGTCACACGAAAATTGGTTGAAAGTCAAGGGACACAGTTGCCGGAGGTTTAATTTCGTGAAGACGCTTGTTAAACCGTTCCCCCGATTTGGATAGTCATCGTCCCGAAAGCATTAATATATGTATATATATATATATATATATATATAAAAATCTTTTTGCATGGTTTACCTGTACATCCTTCTGCTGGTCCCTGGGAGCACTTCCAGATACTAATTTCGCCGTCTTTTACTGAATTATATCCTTCCTTGGTACCCCCTTCCAATCTCTCTTTCTTCTCTTTCTCTCTCTATCTCTGACCTTCTCATTTTTTGCTGGTATACCTTTTTTCCCCTCTCCTTTCTTTTCTTTTTCCTTGCTCGCTTCCTCCTGCCAGCTACCTCGCTTATTTCTCTGCGGGTCGGGATACTTAAACATCGTTCGCACCGAATAATTACGCAGGCTAGTTTCATCCTTCTCCTCCTTCCGTCTTAGTCCTCGTTCGACCGGCTGACTCCTTCTTGCTACTGCAACTTTATGAGCCATCCTTCGTCTTCTTCGCTTTTCTTATTCTTATTCTTCCTCTTGTCCGTACCTTCTTTGACTTCCTCTTTTTTTTCTCACTGCTACCCCGGAGCAAGCCAATTGCACGTGTCTCTAACGACGCCGGCACCTCCGTGGAACGTACGTGATGCCGAGATAACGCGTGACTTCGAGTATCCTTTTCCTCTTATTCGGCTCGCGGTTGTCGAACATCCGTCCCGTCGAATCAGTTTTTACGGAAACGAGTTATTAGCTCGATCCTGGGAGAAACGATCGGTTTCACCTTGCGCCTTGAAGTACATGCCACGATGAATTTCTCTGATTCACCGATAAAATAATGGCTGATTAAGCAAGACGTTTCTGTTCTTGCGCGACTCAATTGGCTACTCTGGTACAGAAGATCTATATTTACAAATGCCATGTACATTAAACGGAAATTTTATACTTATTGCCTGGGAACAATCTATAACATTACCACTATTAACATTTATTTCGCTTCATTTAACGCTTCGATGTTTCGGGTGCCTTGTTATACAGATTTTCTTGACAAGTGAATGAAACTTAGAATACCTGTCTGTTTCGTATGTATAACACACCAGCAAATCTTTTGTAAAATATTTTTTCCAATTTAATCCAACATAATGAGAACGTCTAAAGAGAAGATTTTTTATTTGATATATCGAAATGTCCAATAATTTTTCGTATAAATTTTACAAATGGACGTAGGTTGTTTCCTATTAATAATGTATCTAGAAATTATGCATTATTTCCAGGTAATAAGAAAATATCCCACCGGATATGTATATAGTAAATCCTCGATGAGTGTTTGGAGGCTTCTCGCACTGACAAAGAGAAGTCCTCAGGTGTAACCCTAACTTTTCAATGAGGTTTAGCACAGTGATAGAGCTTGAAATTCTGAAGCCAAGGATCTTTGTTGCAACCGCATGTGGCCATTACTTCATGAAATATTTAATGTTAAGTGCCGAGGAGCCTTCGCACACTCATCGAGGATTTACTATAATCGTAGTGGGTCGCTGGCATTATGTTCTATAATTTATCTGCAAATTATTCCAAGCACTGTTGACTGGAAGTAAATGTTGATAGGTGGATTATAAATATGAAACATGAATATAGATTAAATTTTGTGTCATTGTTGAAATTTCTACGGAATCACAGCGTAATGCAATCTGTACGATAACTGTCGAACCATAAGCAAGCCCTGCGCGTAACAGTATACGTTAAAGGGTTTCCCTGGGTAAAAAAATTAAAAATGCAAAACTTCACGCGAAATTGCTCGACGAAGCCTTTGCGCTGTCTAATAACATCGTTGATATAATAAAGAGACCATCGGTACGCGACGGGGAGTCGAAAGCGGCGCTCGTGCCGATTGAAACCGACTCGATTCTTCTTGTTAAGCGTTGAAGCGTCAGATCTCACAGAGTCCTAGCGACAGTGATAAATCGAAGCAGAAATATGGCAATGTCTCGCGCGTTTTCCGTATTTCGAAACGAGCCTGCAGACATCGTAAATATTCCCGAATGAATTGCGAATAGAAAGAAAGAAAATTCGAAGACTTATGTCAACTTTATGTTAATTTAATTAACTATTCCCACTGTGTCTACTTAATTAAATATTTCCTTTATTCAGTTACAATCACTTTATATACTATTTGTTAACATCATTGAGGTTTTATACGTTATGTGAAAGAGATTTCTTATTTATAAGGAATTGTCTGCACTGGTTTACCTAATTTTGTTTTATAAACAGTTATCCTGCATTAAACATCTATTTTGACCATGACTAGACTGTTTGTTTATGCAAGTCTACTATCGGGTTCCAAATGAAATAAAGTTCGCGATCCTTTTAATTAAAAATTTTAAGTAAATATTTAGACTAGGTGAGGCAGCTCCGATGACCTTAACAAACGTTGTCAAGGTCACCCTCCTCAGTGAGAAGGTTTTTCCCGTTGCTCGTTTTTTTTATTATAAAGTTATGAACAAAAAAGGTCTGCAAAGTGTAGCAGTTATATTAAGTATTGAAGGGCACCAATGACCTTGACCTTGACATGTATTGTAAATGTCACCCTCCTGAATGACCTTAAGAAAATGTTAACAATAGTTCGTTATTTGTTAAAAAGTTACTAACGAATAAATTTCACAATATAAAGTTGTATGGTTAACTCCATAATTTAAATCTTACCCAAATAGTATAAACATTTTATTATCAACATATCTGTTTCTTTAAGTGATTGCATGGGCAGAGGAGAGGCTTCGTTTGAATTTTGCAGACTCCTTTTGTTTATAACTTTTTAATAAAAAGAAAAAAACTGACGGCTGAAATCCTCTAAAGGTTACCGAGGAGGTTAACCTTGACAACTTATGTCAATAAGTTAACCGCCTCCCCTATCCTAAATATTTACCAAACTTTATTACTCCGAGCTTCATACAATAGCGTGTGATATAAACGGATCGTATGAGTAATTATGACAAAATGACGAAACGAAGCATTCTGTGGTCAATCACGTTTTATGATCACGTAATGATATTAATTTTATTAACAGGCCCGCCGTTTCTTTTTTCCTACGAAAACCCGATCGCCGCTTATGTTTGATCTGTCATTATAAAAACATAATGTCCTGTCCACGATCTTATCGGAAATTACACAAGAGTGAAAATTGAACTCGCTCTATTAAATTTCTTGTCGCTTAACATTTTATAGAGATCGCGAATCATAAATATTCAGAGCGCTCTTCACTTTCAATAAATGTCGAAAAATGATAGCGGGGAATTCATGCATGTCGGAAACGAATCGGTAAAACGTTAAGGTTGTAGTGATCGTGTGCCACAAGGACCATCGTGGTCGGTGACGCGTCACGAAAAAAATAAAGACGACCCGATCGTTTCAAACCATTCTAACGTAGTCACGTGTCGGCTCGATTTCGAAGTCAGCTCCCACTCACGTGCCGCTCATTGTGCTCTGTTTTTGTAGGATCTATCTGGATACACATGTATGTACTGCATCGGACAAATGAATTCGGACGCAGATGATT